AACTTGATCATATTTAGTAAATTTATATAGGCAATTATAAAAATATTTAGATAAATATTGAGTGAGTACCCACAAACAAATTTATTTTTTCTCTTCTTTTGCAGTTTTTATCGGCGAGCACCCATAATATTAAAATTCCGAATCCGCCACTCGTTCACGTGCCCCATAATTTGGACCTAAATCCACCCCGGAGTAGCACCCCTATTTCCTAGAAGGTTAATATTGTAAAGACTGATGCCATAAAGGCTAGAAATGATAAGCGAAAATGCACAAAGTCAAAATACTGGAATCTAGGGGATTGTTTAAAGATTCGAAGTTGAATCACATAGATCAAACATTACTTGGAGTCGCAGTTAATTCTTTTAATTTTTCTTTTATTTATATCTAGCTAAGTTAGTTTTGGTTTATCTGAATTTTTAATCGATGATGCAAAACAAAACGTTAGTATAATCTTCAATTTGCTAAAAAAAAAAAAAGAGTAATAAAGCATAGTATCTACAGAAAATCCAGGTACAGTTAGAAACATGTATTACGCATTTGGATTGTTGTTTCGTAAAACAAAATGTATCTTTTCTTGTGTTGAATTAAAATTTGTTAATATTTAATATAACAAATGAGATATTCTAGTAATATGACGATTCTTAAGTGACAATTTAATGAAAATGTGCAAACATTATCCTGATCGAGCGGATAAAAAATTGCAATCAATGTTTTAAAAAGTGTGGGTACAAGGCAATGCGTTTTATATATGGCTCAGCGAGGCATAAGTTTCGAGGTATGGAACATAAATCCCATGAGTATTTAATTTTTAATATTTTATAAAATAATATAATTATAATAAATATTTTTAAATAGGTAAAATTGGGTAAAAATTAAAGAAAACTATAAATAAGAAAATAATATATNTATATATATATATATATATATATATATATATATATATATATATATATATATATAGATGTTCTCCATCCAAAAAAAAACTAGTCAAAACAATTTATTATACGCTACTTACAAGCATAAGTAATTTGAGTTGAAACGAATAAAATTTTCTACACAAAGAAACAAAAAGCGTGACTAACCTGCAATTTGAACTTCGAACGTGATGCTAAAGACCATAAATTAGAACTTCTAGAAAAAAAAAGGGTCTTGACGTTTATTGAGAATTTGGATAATATTAAGGATTTATTCAATAAAATTTTATTTTAATTAGAAAAAGTCTCGTGGGCTTGCGCCTCACACCATTGCCTCGGGGCTTTTTTGTGGTGTGACTATACAAATCAGTTTCTCAAAAATTGTATAGTATATTCTTAAAATACCCAATTGAATTGAATCATTGACACAGCTACAACTCAGCTCATTTATCTGTTTTCCTAATCTGTAACTTTTTAAAATAAGTAGATAAATTATTAACTTAATCAAATTACTTATTACAAGAAAAGAGATCTAAATTTGTCAACTAATTTAGCAAGATCCTCCTGACAGAGAGTTGACGTGGCATAATTGCCCAGAAAAGACAAGAGTTTACTCCATTGGTCACGGCGTGTTCTCACTCGACACTTGTCCTCTTTAAACCCTTTTCACATTAGCGCGTGGACCCTACGTCCTTCCTCACAGTCACACCTAAAACACTATGCTACGTCACTTCCCTTAATCCTCTTCTCATTATTTTTTATGAGAATAGGATAAAATTTGCATTTTGTATTATGATGAATTTGATTTCTATTTAATTTTTTGTCAAATATTATTATGTCATTAGAAATTTTTTATAATTTTTTATCTTGCCCCGTATCGAGCTTAATCTAAGATTAATTTTGAATCAGAATACAAAATTGAGATCGTTTAAAAAATTTAAATACACGAAGTCTATTTTTTCACGTTAGTATCTGTTAATGAAAAGGACAAATACGAGACAATTTATTAATGCGAAGATATTTAGAACATTCTCCCTCTTTTTTTATAAAGCTGCTCTTCAGATTAGAAAAAAATGCTCTCTTCCCCCCAATTTAATACAAGCAATGGACACAAATCTCCTTACATATTACTAAATTCTTTCCATATTAAAATTGTGATTTGTATGGAAATCATAATCTCTTGCTAATATGGAAAGTACTTTAATTAAGTACATGTATGATCCTCCTCTTATACACAGAGGCATTCTCCAGTTCCTTTTTTCCGACATAGAGATGGTTACTATCGAGTCCTTAACATACACGAGCCTTAAGGACCTGTTGCCGGCGTCGCCGCCGGCGATTATGTCGCCGACAAATGGACGGAAAGACAGCTGGCGAGAGATTCCGATGAAGGATCCGCTGTTACAGCACGCCGCGTGGGCGTACCTTCAGCCAATGGCGATACCGGAGGCTGATCGGAGTTTCTCTGAGAAGGTGAAGGAGAAATGCTTTGGGCTGTTTAATTGCTTCAATGATGTTGTTTATGTCATGTTTAGGGGTTTTTTTTCGGCGCCGGAAGTGGAGAATCAAAATGGAGAAGATACAATCGACTGATAATAAGTGGCGGCAGCAGAATTTTCGCCAACAGATATTGATTTAGCAAAAGCTGCATTTTTTGTGTGACTGGTGATAGGGTGCTCATTTCTCATGTACATACGTTCTTCTTCTTTAAATTTTTTTTTTTTTTGAACTTCATAGCATTGTTTTTAATTTACAAGGGTTAACATTTCTTGGGCAAATTGAATGGTGATAGATATAGATGATTTATATAGTCGATTTAAATTAGTTTGGAATTGAAGCGTGATTAATTGATTGATAAATGGTGATATCTAAGTAGATTCATTCAATATTACATCTCGATAAATAATAGTAATATTATTATGTCGGAAGTCAAATAAAAATATCTTTGACTACGATTTTGTCAAATATTCATGAAGCATTCAAAAAATAAATATTCATGTTAAAATTATTTTGAATGTACTATCACTTTTGCGGTCTTGTACTTCAAATTCCGTCATTCTTTTTAAAACAGATATTGCATTTATTTCTTATTAGCTACATTATAACGACATTAAAACTTAATATTATAAATAGACAATTGTTAGGTATTATTTTTTCGTGAAATATTTGGATAGCCAAGTGTTGTAAGTAAAATTAATTGTAGTGCTTGCTTATGTAATTTCTAAGAGTTAATATATTTCATGTTGGAATTTGGATGTGTTGTTTCTGATGGTCTTGTACTTTAAAACTTGTCATTTTCTTAAAACGGATAATGTATTTATTTCTTGTTAGCTACACCATCATGACATTAATGGAGAAAGAAAATTGATTTATAATTTATAGACATTGATTAAGTGAAAGGGAGCCTTGTTGTAACTGGTAAAGTTGTTGCCATGTGACCAGGAGATCACGGGTTCAAGCCGTGGAAACAGCCTCTTGCAGAAATGCAGAGTAAGACTGCGTACAATAGACCCTTGTGATCCGGCCCTTTCCCGGATCCTGCGCATACCGGGAGCTTAATGTACCGAGTTGGCCTTAGACATTGATTAAGTATTATTTTCTTTTGTGAAATTTTGGGATAGCCAGGTGTACTTATTTGGTTCGAAGCTATAATCAAGAAGAGTAAGAACTGAAAACAGACAGAAGTAGGTTTCAGTTTTCTTCTTCAGCTGAACAAATAGGTTGTTCGTTACTTTAATATGATAAAAGATGTTTCAGACAATGACAGTATGATATGTTCATACAAAGAGATTTCGTGACATAGTACTAAATATTATTTCTTGCTTTCGTGTCATCATTTAAAAAATCAATGCTATCTTAGTAATTAATTTCCAGTTTGGACATTAATGTTTATTCTTTATTAAAATTGCAATAGGGGCTTTGGTTGCTCCATGTGTATTATTTGTTTTTCAATTCAATAAAGGCAATGTTGCTTATGTTTGATGGATACGTTAATGGTTCTTATTTATATTTTGACCCGTTTTAAAAAAAATTTATTATCTAACCTATTTTTTAATGAATAATATAGGTGAATAACTATTTTATTTTAATCATTTTGTCACCACTAAACGCAAGCAAATTGGCTTGTAATTTGTAACCGAAGAAGAGAAATGGAAATTCGAAAATGGCCAGCCTGGAACCCATCTCTAGCCAGTTATGAACATCTCATATTTCGTTCTCTCTTGATACAATTAGAGGAGCTTTTGTCAAATTTATCTATCAATTATGGGAGACACAACTCAATTAATTCAAGGATGAAGCGACATCCACAATTCTTGTCAATATCATTTGTATTTTCTTTAATTAAAATTCCATGTTATCACTCCCCCACCCCCACACTACTAGAATTCCTGAAAAAAGCGATCAAATTTTAACGACCAACGTTGGTCTGTCAAGAAAAGCGACCAAAGTTGGTCGCTAAACTGGAGTTATAGCAGTAATGAAGAATTGAGTTGGTATTAAATCCCCTCAAATCCTATAAAACCAACAGCAGTATCAATACATATATACTTTTATTTGGCTGCATTTTCTAGCTAAAATGTTAGCTACGGATTAGTTTTGCATCAGTATCAATAACTAATCAATGATATATTATCCATAATGAAGACTTCTATTCTATAAAAATGGATAGCAAGACAAAATCTTGTCAATGATTGAATGAAAAGAGACTGAAAGTATGAAATTTTTTCTGTATGATTTTATTATCTTCAGCTTGGTTATATACAAATCTATGTATAGATACAAAAGAATGTAAATAAATATTCTTATACACTTGTACTAAATCCTATTGGATAATTGCAAAACTAACTAGCAGAAATATTCCTTTACAATATACTATATCCATGTGCCATTTACGTGCGAAATTTTCATCTGAAATGTATGCCATTTAGTCTTCTCTTAATAAACTAACGTCCCAGATGAAGTTGAAAGTTTAGGATCAAAAGCTTTTGATCTTGACACGTGTCACTCCTTGAAATAAAATAGAATCTCAGCAGATCTCTTCAGACATAAGCTCAACCTTTCCTTGGAGACTCCGAAATTCTCATCTTAGTCCTTCATCTTCTTCTTTCTCGTTTCTTCATTTTCCTTTGAATCAATATGGGGGTTTTGATCGTCAACATCCCCCCTCAAGATGGAGGGGAGAGAATGGACCCCCAGCTTGCTCAGAATGTGGCGATGAGAACCCTGAGATAAGGGCTTTGTGAATAAATCGGCAAGTTGGCAGTCCGATGGAACAAAAGATAAAGAAATTAAACCAAAGAGGAATTGTTGACGAACAAAGTGGCAATCGAGGTCCACATGCTTCGTTCGTTCATGAAAGATAGGGTTCCGAGCTATGTGAATCGCTGCCTGGCTATCGGAATGAATAAGGACTGGTAAGGTAGGTTGTACTGTGAGATCTCCCAAAAGTCGAACAAGCCAAGTGATCTCAACTGTGACTCGACGCATCAACCGGTATTTAGCTTCGGCAGATGACAAGGAAACGGAAGCCTATTTCTTGGATTTCCAGGAAATAGGTACACCTCCAAGCGTAATAAATAAACCACTCACTGACCGTCTAGAATCACGACATGCTGCCCAATCAGCATCGCAAAATGCTAGTAAATCAAAAGAGGGAGAAGAAGACGGAAGAATTCCTTGTGAAGGATCTGTGCGCAGATATCTCAACACACGTTGAGCAGCAGAAAAATGGGAAGAACAAGGCCTGTGCATGTATTGACTCAGCGAGAGAACAACAAAGGAGATGTCAGGCCTAGTGTTCGTCAAATAGTTGAGTTTACCAACTAGATGACGATACAGACTTGGATCATCCATTGGTATCCCCGAATCTGCCTGAAGCTTGATGGAAGGGTCAAGAGGTGAAGAAATCTTGCCTCCTGGACAATTGAATTCCTGCAGCAGCTCTAAGGTAAATTTCCTTTGGCCGATAATGAAGCCCTGTTTTTCTCTGAGTATCTCCATGCCTAGAAAATAGTGAATAGCACCCAAATGTTTCACTTTGAATTATGAATTGAGAATACCAGTGATATGTTCAATTTCTGTTGCATCATCCCCTGTTAGTAGGATATCGTCAACATATACTGCTAGTATAGACACAAGAGTACCATTGAGTTTGTAAAAGAGAGAGTAATCATTAAGAGGACTAGAATACCCTTTAAAACTCAAAGCTCCTGCAAGTCTGGCATACCATTTGTCACACCTCCTTTTTTTACACACCTACCCCGAAGGATAATGTATAAAGGAGTTTTTCCATTTAAAATGACATTATTCGAAATGGGATTATTTATTTATTTCAGAGTCGCCACTTGGGATAAGATTGACTTTTGGTGTCCCAAGTCACCGGTTTAATTTTAAATCCCAAATCTAGGAAAAATTTCGACTTCCCAATTGGAGTCTGCGAACCAGAAATTCTGAATAAGGAATTCTGTTGACCCGAGGGAAGGTGTTAGGCACCCCCGGATCCCGTGGTTCTAGCACGGTCGCTTAAATTATTATATTTGGCCAAAATATGATTTTAATACATGTTTTAACTTATGCGCCTTTTAACTTTAAACCGCTTTCATTATTCTTTTAAAAGAGAATTGCAACGTCGTGAAAACGCGTCTCGAACCACGTCACATAAATGCACCCGCGGTTTTTGACACATTTCGACTTCGTTGAGATTTGGATTTGGGTCACATAAATGCACACCCGTATTTAAGAAGTAAAATGATTAAAAGCGCGCCTAAAGTGGCTAGCGTCTTATTAACTTTGCGGGAGGCTATGAAAATTTGCTAAATGACACGTCCCGAATTTCTAAAAGGTTGCACTCAACTTAGAACTAACTACAGATGTTCATGGGTTGTTCATTTTGCTAAATTGGAGATTGCTTCCATCGGAGATATAATGTAATCAATCAATTACGGTTGGTTAACACAAAATATGATACATGATTACAATTCAATCCAACATGTCTAATTGCATCACTTTTAAAGAAATCGGATATTAGCTACTGTCCAAATCAACGAGTTTCCATGCCGTGTAAGACTTTACTAATAACAGACACTTAAACCAAGTAAGACTTTGATTCGTGAATTCTTAACATGATATTTGGGTAATCACTCCTCTTAAAAAGTATACCGAATTAAACTGATGAACATTTTCATTACACACAGCATGTCATGCCTAGATGCAAAGTACTCTCAGAATTTAACCGTAGTCCCTTTTGTTTAATTAAGTCTCCAGAAGGCGACAAAATAACTTTCAAATAAATATAAGGAAAGAAAAATTTGACACTTAAAATGAATTCCAACGCAGTATGCACAAAGTTTATCACGAGATTTACGGTCAAAACAAGCCTAACAAAATTAATAAATGGGAATCAATTACGGCAAACTGAAGCTTGATTCGTGCATCTCAAAATAGGGCACACGAATGTTGGACATGAAAACGAGCCTAATAATTCAAAATAGTTTCACACTAAGACCAAGAAAGACCAGTCGAAACTATACCAAATAGACCATTCAAGTTGAAATATCAAATTTATGTTTCAGCCGAACACTTTCACAATCAAAATAAATACGTACAAGAAACTAATATCACTCTTACAGTCATAGCTAATTACACACAATTAATAGAAGAAATGAGTATTAAGAGAATGAACCTTCTGTATTTATAGATCTCAACTCGAGCTACAGCAGCTTGTAGATTACGGACCGGAACTTTCGCCGGTGACTACGAACAGACCCAGCGACCGGAGACCTCAACGGAAGTTCCGAACTCCACTTTTGTCGCTCCTGTTTTTCAGCTCGTTCTCGGAGTGTGTGTTGTTTCTCGTCTGTGGAAGTGAGGAAGATGGGTAAGGGTGGTGAGGCGCAGGGGTTTGGGGCTGTTGTCGGTTGGTTGCTGCTATGAGGTTCAGGGGTGTTTGTTAGATGGGGTGTTGGAGTGAAGACGATGAGGATCTGGAGGGGTCGTTTTTGTTCTATGGCTGGTTAGGGATTTTCTCTGAAAGGTGGGGGTGGGGTGCGATGAGGAAGACAAAGTTCCAGGGGGGGTGGGGGCGTCTGCGTTATTATCAGCGCAACTTTTGTCCTCTGCTGCACTCAACTTTTTTTTTTGGGTCCCTCTTGTGTTTGTGGTGTAGGTACTATTATATAAGGTAGGGATTATGTTAGGGGTATGGGCCTAGGAACTATGAGCTAGGTATTTTGGACCAAAGACTAAAAAATGGACTATAAGATTTATAAAAACGGGATAAACCAACCTAAAACTAATTCTTTCTTCTAAAATTATGTACAATTATAATATAAAAATATAAAACTAATTTTAATTAAGTGAACTAAACTATAAAACATAAAACTATTTTTTTGTGTTTTCAAGATTATAAAAATAAAGATAGGGTACTTTTTTTTGTAATTTTTTTTTGAGATTAAAAATGACTATAAAATATTAATAAATCTATTTTTTGTATTTTTTTTTATTTTCTTGTAATAAAATAAAGTAAGATAGTAAAAATTAGTTGAAATGGCGATATTAGGCCTAAACTAAATATTTACATGCTAAAATGGGTAAAATTTCGGGGGAGGGTCAAAAATCACATGTCAACAGCTGCCCCTCTTTGACTGGAAACGCGAAGAGTTTTCAGACAAAGAATGACTAGACAGGTTTTTGACCCGACCCTTATTTAAGCAGAGCAAAAACTAAGAGGAAGGAGAATGTGACCGAGCCCTGGTATCTGAGCTGCCTACATATCCTTGGCTATAAAGGAATCAGGCCACGTGTAGTTCAGAAATGAATGAGATGATGGAGTACCGAGGTTGAGAGCCGAGCGAGGTGCCGTCGAGGTTTCGGTCCGCGGTCCCGTTATTACATCAAAATCAAAAATGAAAAAGACTAACTAAGCCTATCAGCTACGAGTTACAAGATTCCTATCTATGAGTCTTCTGAAGCTTGATCTTGAGTCTTGGTTGGTTCTTCATGCGGACCCTGATCTGAATCTTGATGCTTGTTAGCTGCAGGTGTTGGTTCAATCTTCTTCAGTTTTTTCAAACCAGACGGGACATGCAGAGCTGGTGACCCTCAACCGTGTCTTGCGCAGCTCACATTTTTCATCAATTTTCTGCATTTTGAATTCACTTCTTTTCTTTTCTTCTTTTTCTTTATTCTGGATTGAGACTCATTCTTTTGGTCATCTCGAACCCTGTGTCTTGAGGTCGACCTGCTTAAGATACCAAAACAAACAAACGAACGAAATTTTCTGCCCCAGTTTTCACTAGGAAGATTTCATGAGTTAGTTGTGACACATATCTAAGCGATCAAATCAGGATTGTGTAGGGAGATCCTCGGTTTTTGGCCGGGATTTGGAAAGAAAAAGCTCCTCGGTTTTTTGGCCGGGAGATCCTCGGTTTTTTGGCCGGGATTTGGAAAGAAAAGGCTCCTCGGTTTTTTGGCCGGGATATCATCGGTTTTTTGCCGGGAAAGAAAAAAGCTCCACGATTTTTTGGCCGGGAGATCCTCGGTTTTTTGGCCAGGATTTGGAAAGAAAAAGCTCCACGGTTTTTTGACCGGGAGATCCTCGGTGTTTTGGCCGGGATTTGGAAAGAAAATGCTCCACGGTTTTTTTGGCCGGGAGATCCTCGGTTTTTGGCCGGGATTTGGAAACAAAAGCTCCACGGTTTTTGGCCAGGAGATCCTCGATTTTTCGGTCGGGATTTGGAAAGAACAAGCTCCACGGTTTTTGGCCGGGAGATCCTCGATTTTTTGGTCGGGATTTGGAAAGAACAAGCTCCACGGTTTTTTGGCCGGGAGATCCTCGGTTTTTTGGCCGGGATTTGGAAAGAAAAAGCTCCACGGTTTTTTGGCCGGGAGATCCTCGGTTTTTTGGCCGGGATTTGGAAAGAAAAGGCTCCTCGGTTTTTTGGCCGGGAGATCCTCGGTTTTTTGGCCGGGATATTTAAGGAATGGGATCCTATGCTACCATGATTTGTTTTTCTTTTGGGATTTTCATTTTATTTCCTTTCTTCTTTATTTTTCTTTTGTTTTCCTCTTTATAAGTTTTCCTTTTTATTTAGCAAAACGCGTGAAAGAATTTGGGAGAAACTTCCTTTTTGGTCATTTTCCTGCTGCAAAGCTGTTTCAGCGCTTGCGCATTTCATTTCTTTTGGGTTGCACCGGCTTCTTGCATGGTTGCTTTGATTGCACCTGTTTTCAGCAAAGAACAGTTTGTTAGTTTGAAACGGTGGTTGGTTTTTGTGGCCTTGATCATCTCAATTGCTTGATCCCGGCCCCATTTCCGTTGAGAACTTTGCTGCTCGTTTGCCTTGAGGGTGAATCTCTTTTAAACCGACCGGGTTCAGCCTTAGGACTTCATGATGACTCGCCCGTGTGGGCTCTAGCCTTTTCACTTTATTCTGCCCTTGGGACCTTTGCCTTTGACTTCTTTTCTTTTCCAATGTTCTTGCTTTGAAAGCATCAACCACTATGGTCAGTCGAGATTGGCCTGACGCACTCGCTGAGGCTGGGTATTTTCTTCGCCTCTGACCAGGCGGAGCCTGGTGAAGCCGGTCCTGCCACCTTTTCTTTGTACTAGTTACGGAATCAGAGTTAAACCGAAAAGGATTCAAAGAAAAAGTATGTAAAAGGCAAGCATATGAGTTTAAAAAGAAGCATCCCTTACGGGGAAAGAGAAGGACTTATCTGAGGTGGATGCTGGCTTCAAATGAACATGACATGCTTCTTGGACTGGACGCCCGACCCACACAAACTTTCCAACTTCTCGTGAACCCATTGATCTGCATTTCAAAACCAAGGAACCTTGCCAGGACTCTTTAGTGATGAGATGTCTTTTCTTCGGCTGACAGTTCCCTTTGCGGGTTTTCGCCAATCGACCTCTCTCATTTCTCTTCTCACCGTCACCCGATAGTGCTCTTTGCGAGTTTTCACTAAGCGGACTCTCTCATTTTCAGCTTCTCTTCTCACCA